TCTTAAAAAAAAAACCAATAATCATACTATAAATTATAATATCGTATATGTGTATATGTATATACAATATTTATAATTCATAAATTTTCATAACTTTCATAACTTTCATAATAATAATTAATAATAATAAATTTTTATATACAAAGTTATTTTTTTAAAAAAAAAATTCTATAGGAATCTATAAATATAAATATATACATATACATATAAAGTACTTATATTTGTTTGTTTTCTTACATATGACATATATTGTTAGAACTCCCAATATTTATATCATAGTCTTCGTATAGCGTGTTATAAGAACCTTTATCACTAAATCGATATTCATCATCTACGTTCGATTTTAAACATGCATCAGGCATTCTAGGTAATTCTTCATCAGGCATTGTAAATCGCAAATTATCTGGTGGAGCATAATAACATGGAAGAAAGTAAGCTGCTTTATTATTCGTTCCGAATATTAAAAATAAAAATGTCCCACTAAAATTTACAAAATGAGAAAAATGTTAGAAATCGAGAATTAAGTGCAAAGAAAAAAAAAAAAAATTTTCGAAAAAATTTCTTACACTGAAGCTGAGCCAAAACCAGAAATTACTGCAATAGTATTGTTTTTACTTGGATCATTTTCTCTTTGTATGGCTCGAGGCACAAGTGGTATAGCCAATGAAATCACAAATACAAAACACCAAGCGCATGAACGCACAGCTTCGCCTAATCTTATCGCTGTTCTTCTATTCTTAATAGTAGCAAAATGAGACCAACGTCTATATAATATAAATGCTGAATGACCTAAAAAAAAAATTTTAAATATTTATTTATTGATTAGATATTGATGAACAAACATTTAATTCATAAAAAAAATATTTTTTACATCAAAACTTACATGACATTAAAATTGCCAAAAATGCCGATATAGATGATGTTATAATATATCCATAAAAAGATTCAGCTAATTTACTAGTTCTACAATTCAAAGAACTAGCATAAACACCCCAATTAGTTTCTTTAATAGCAAATTTCAACAAAATTCCATTATAAACCGTTGTATAAACCCAACTAATAATGGAAACGTATCGAAAACATTTTTTTTCAATATCTAAATCCTTTTTAACCAATGCGTACCATAAATAGAAAGATAAGGCACAACTGAAGAACTCAAAAGGATATATGAAAAATAATGAAAATTTCTGTAAGATCATACATAAAGGGTTATCATATGCTCGTTTTACTAAATCATCTCCATAGATTACTACTACTGGGAGATTAGTTAAACCACTTCCAAATGCCGTTATACATATTTGAAATAATGTCCATTTTGTAAAATATGGTTTTGATTTTAAAATTGTACACATTAGACATGATAATAATACAAGGCTTAGAATCTGCAGGAGAATATATAGGATTGCGACCGTTGAATATGTTGTCATTATGAAAAAACTATTAGTAAATTTTTTTTAAAAAAAAATTAGGAAGAGTGAGATACTTCAGGGGAAAGGTTAGAGATATTTATAAAAACTTCAAATTAACAGAAAAAGATTTGGAATACCTTGTAAGATGTTTCCAAAAATAACTATTCGATCATATCTGTCATATGTATCTACAAAATGTTTAAAGAATAAACAAACAAAAAGACTTTAGAAAAATAACAAAACTTTCAAATAATGCTCAATATGTATTATTATTTACAAATTTCCCAATTTAAGAATTATAGGTAAAGCTTATTCCTGATTGTTTCTTTCCGGTTACCTTTGTTAATAATGAATGAATGAAAGGTGAAGTTTTTATTTGTAAAGAGTATGAACGTACAAATCGAGACTTGTATGACGTGCTTTTTTTTTAAAAAAAAATTCTAACAAGAAACTTTTGCATTAGGAATGACGACTGTACCTTTTTTTTTTTATACGCTAGCTTATGCGAAATGATTCCATGATGACTCATTGTTAAACTTAAAATAAAACTTCACTGATTGGATAAATTGTATTGGATTCGCAGGAAAATATATAAAACAGAATGGAAAAGATAATTGCTTTCATAAATTAATTTTGATTTGAAATCAATTAAATAAATGCACTTAATAAATAATCTGATATATAGAATAGGATGTACTAACCAAATAAGGTAACCACAAATGGGATCAAATAAAGTAGGACAAAATCAATTAAAATTAAGTATGGACGACAATCAAAATGCTTAGTACTACATGCATATATTGTATTACAAGAAGTAATTTCTTTGAACGATAATAAAAAAACGGTTTTCAGAATTGTCAACATTGTTTTGACGAATATTACTGGCGCATAGTAGTAAAGTGGTGTGGTTGTGATGTCATTGATGATAATCAATGATGAGTAACTCGAAAAAAAAAACAAATTTTGTAATATCGACCCTTCTAGAGTTCTACCCTCGTCTCCAGACCTTTTCCATCGGTAACATCTATCGGTAACATCTACCGTTATAAAATCCCAATAACACATGCAGAATGGATGAAAATTCTTTTGATTTGCATAATAAACTGAACATTAAATTAATTTATCCTTTTTAAAGAAGAAGTCAAAAATTGGTTACGTTACCATTCTACTGAATTTGGTAATTTTTTATCAGAATTGTTATTACTTTAGGCGATACAAAATTCGTAAATAGTCTTTTTTTTTTATAAACAAAGGAAATCATCAATTAAAGTTAGATTAGTTTCTCATTGATTTCAGATTTTTACTGGGTAAATTTTATATAATTGAAATTAAGATTTTAATTGGTTCCTCGCATTACAAATAAACAATTAAGAGTTTCCTAATTAAGAAATTTATAATTTTCAATGTAAAATACTAAGATTATGATTTTTGATTGTTCAACAAGGAGAAAAGAAAAATTATCGTATTGTATTGTCCATTATTAAATGAAAAAATGTCACCTTGATAAGTATCTCAAGAGTACATATTTTAAAATCATGAGACCTTTACATAAACAAACATATAATTTTTTTTAAATTTGAAAAAAATTAATTTTTTTATTTTCTTAATGGTTGTCGTAAATAGTTGGAAAGAATAAAAGTCAAGTAATTAATTATAATGGTTGTATGCTCTTATTTTATCAGAGCATTTTTTTTTTACTTTTTATTTAATACTATACATTTGCTTTTGCTTTATCATAATCGTAATTGGCTATATCATTTACAACTTACGTTTATAATATTATACCACCTAAGAATGTAATTCAAAATATAATAATTACGGCAACTAACTTTTATTATTGCACATCTCACGATACTAAGATACATCTAATAAAAAAATTTTCAAAGCTCTACATTATTGTCATGCGCCCACACTTATACATTATTATATCTTCTTAATTTAATTAATTAAAGCAAAAAAAAAAATCACATTTTCCGATAAATCTTTATAAGCTCAATTCGTCAATCTGGCAGATTATTTTCATCTTTCTAATGTGATTTCAAAATTGGATCAGTAACGATATGATGGATTAAAAGAAAAAATAACGGTTTATTTCATAAACATCTTTATTATTGTTATGTTAGTCACGTAAAGTTAAAAGGATTTATATAAAAACTACGAAAAAAAGTAAATAGTATAGAAAAAAATAAGCGGAAAAAAAGTTAATTCGTTTACAAAAGAAGGGAGAATACTATTGTAAAAAAAAACGAAATTGATATAACAAATTATTGCATGCTTAAATTAAATATATATTTTGTCTATGCCGCAGCAAAAAGACGATTCATATAATCTTATAACCCAAATTATTTCTTAAAATTAAGATATTTTCATGTTTAAAGTAAGAGAAAATTTTGTATATATATGTATGTATATATATAATATTTATATAATTTTTGAAATAAAATATAATTTTTTAACGTCACAACAGCTCCAACTGCTGTTAAGTATCTGTCTCTTATACACATCTAGATGTGTATAAGAGACAGTTTCACATTAGTAGTTCATTTAAAACACTGTGTTAACCTTGCTTATGTTGCCAATGTTTGCTATAATGTTGAAGAATATGAAAAAGTTTTTTTTTTTTTTAATTTTTTTTAGAAAACCATCGTATTGATTTAAGATAAGTATTAGTTGCGTTAAAATCGAATTTATGTCCATCATAGCCTGAATCGTACGTCTTATCATCGATCCTCCAAGCTGAAGTAAGTAATAATCTAACTGTTTCAAAGTTCATTGAAACATATGTCGTCATCTAATCAAAGGTAAAAAGGAAAATTTAAAATTTGTAAATAAATAAATTAATTGTAACGTTTATTGCATACCATAGTGCCTAATGGTCCTGCCCAATCTCCTATTGGAATATATATTTCTTTATAATGAACTTTCGACAATTCTTGGCATTTTTCTAAAAATTGGGGAACACAGGTTTCTGGACTTGAATTGATTCCTTTTGCTTTAAATCCCGAATGAACTAATACAAAAATGATAAATAAAAAAAAAATCCATTTAAGGATTCATTTAGACATTTAATAATTACTGTGTCACTCACAAAAATGCACATGTGGCGCATTAAAAAATTAAAATCCGTACTACAAACATACTTGCTTCTATTAGTTGCTTGTCACTATGATCAATTTCAAATTCGAAGAATTCTACCCACCCACCTATTGAAATTTCAAATATGTAATCGATGAGTAATCATTGTTTATATTTTTATTTTTAACAAAAATTACTTTACCTGGAATAGTTACGCGGATCATTTCTTTTACATAAAATTTCCATTTCTCCAATACTACACAATTGCACAAGAATCGTTGAAATACGAAATCAAACGTTTCATTGGGAAACGGTATACCATCATTTAAATTAAGTTGTAAGAAAATGACATTTGATGGTATATCTTTAACATCAGGAAATATTGGCGACATATCTATGCCTACAAATGTAGCTTGTGGATATTCTTTTGCCATATCTATTATCCAGTGCCCAGCTCCGCACCCTATATCTAATACTTTCGCATTTCCAGACTTTAATAACTCATGGATCGGGGAAGAAAAATTATTTTTCCAAACAAATCTGCATATGTTGTGTTGTAAATGTAATCTTTCAACTGTAATAATAATATTACGTGAAGGTTTTTATTATTTTACAAGATAAAAAATTTTAAAAAAAAAGCAACCCATTTTGAATAAATTATTTTGTTTAAAAAAAAATACCTTCTTTATCATCGTTTGGAAATAAATAAGTTACATCAGTCAAATTATGATATCTTCTTCCTTTAAAATAACGAAACGAGTCCAAAATATTTTTGGAATTAACAGATTTTAGCGGATCCGAAGAATCAAATTCTCGGTTGGAACGTTCATTTTTCATATTAGTTAAAATATAAAAAAAAAACTGAAAAAAAACGTAAGAATGAGGAGAATGAGAGAGAATGAGGAGAGAGGGAATTAATGATAAAATTAAAAAAAAAGGAAAGTAAGAAATGATAAAATGATGTTATATATAAAGGATTGAAGAAGATAATTAAATATAAAAAAAACGATGGAGGAGAATTTAACAAATCCAAGCTACTTAATATATACGTGAAATTTTTTTTAAACCATGCAATGTAACCAACCGTTGATCATCCAATCTGTTGTAATATATCACGTAATTATTAGTTATCTAGATATTTTAAACTCGTTATCTCATGTTTGTTTTATTTATTGCACAAATTCTTGAATATTATTTACTATACAATAATTTCCTTCTAAAGGAAAAAGTCGTTTGTAAAGCCGTGTATAATAATCCTTCCAACTTCTAAAGTTCGAATGTTTGATCATAAGAAAAATTACTATAGCAAGTCATAATTAAAACAAAGAAATAAAATAAGTAGGAAGGTACAAAAGATCAAACAGGAGAAAAAAAAAAAAGAACCAGAGAAATTTTTTTTTCGGTAACATAATTTAAATGATAATTTTTCATCGGAAATCAAAATTTTCCAAAACTATCATTACATCATAAATATTTATATGTAAATTTTAACGCGAATTCTTTGTTTGCTCAACAAGAATTTAAAGTTAAAGTTCGATAACAATCTTTATTGATACAAATCACACAAAAAATTTTAATACATAAACTTATGGTCAATGCTTTATTAGATTGACTGGAATTTGATTTTCACGTGTTTAAGGTCTGGCGGCAGTATTTTAGGGTTAGCATGCATAAATGCTCCGGTTATGAATCAGTTAAATCTCCGTTAATGTTCTATAAATTTAGTTAAATTAAAGATGAATTTCAAATTAACCAAACTTGTTTAACAAGAAATTATCTTCTTTGAATTTAAGTTTTAGATTAAACCAAATTCTTTGTTACATACATGACACAAAAATATCGTTATGTTTAAACGAATTTTACTGATAGGAATCCATAAAAGTAACAAGAGGCTTTGCTGTTAACTTTTTTTATCAGAAACTTTACAGGGCACAAGACAGTCTTTGTTTTACACAATAAATAAAGACTTATTAATATACTTAATACATTCTAGCATGTACTATAATACTATAATTACAAAAAATTTTTAAGTAACAATACTTGCATCATTATTAATAAATCTGTTTAGATCGCGTATTATTTTTGGGGTAACGTTGTAATGCGCGTCAATATTTTATCCTCTTGAAAAACTATAAAATATAATATGACTAACTTCTTTATAAGAGCACAAGAACCTTTTTAGCGTGATATAAAATGATCACAAAATTCAAACAATAAAATAATTACTTGCATCAATGAAAAATAAATATGACAAAGTCCCGATATGTAGAACCAATTTCATATTTATATTTATGGTTAGCTATTAACTGATTGGTTAGTTAGTGAACCAGAAATTTTCAATAGCATAAAATTAATATGCGCATATATAGAATATTTAAAATTAATATATGCATATATAGAACATCGAATTGTATAAAAGAAAGATCCATAATTAGAACAATCTTGATAATACAATAAGATTTTAAGATTTAAAAATAGACTTATCAAACGTGGATGGTTTGCTACAAAAATACTGGTTCTTGGCTTTAACCATCTTACCCATTATAGAGATGTTCGGTCGCATAAACCAATTTTTAACAACAACAGTATCTATAAATATTTGATTATTAATCCATTAAATAATATTGAACCTCACTAAATCACCGATAATTTTGCAATGTCCAATAAAACAATAATAAATATATAATCTAATCATAAATGCATTGATAATTACGAAATTTTGATGAAATCAACTATTTTTTTTATAGTGATATGTATGCAAATCGATCAATCATTTTTTTTTTTTAATAAGCATTCGCCTTCCCGCCGAGAAAAGTAATAAAATATTATCTAAATAATATCTTGACCAATTTAGTTTCTCATTATCTTGATATCATTTGTTTAAAGTTCTAGAATATAATTTTTTTTTAAAGCAAACATGACAATCAATTCTTTATATAAATTTCTCTTAAATTCGATTAAGTTCGGTTTTATTTACTAAGATGAGCACATAATTTCCAAATTAATATTCATTCATCATTTTGTTAATGTCGGTACGGAAAAAAAACATGCGTGGGATATAATTAACTAATATTCTTATATATCAGTGTAACATTCTCGTAAAACTTTAATGTCATGCAAATGAAGTAAGATAACAAGATAACAGATGGTCGACGGATTTAGATTGGATAATTCGATTCATAATGATAATTATAACATTATATGATGGAGTAAGCATACTGTATCTTGCATATCTTTCCCTATACAAGATATTGATTTGGAGTATGATTTTGTTGTACATATTTTAGCATATCGAAATAATTGAACAACATTGTCACAGAATTATTCATATTCTTTTGTTGTATGTATATCGGATTCACTCCTTATTTATTTTTTTTTATGTCAAATGTTACCATTGTTTGATACAATAAATGATAAGCTCATAAAAAAAAAAATTTTTGATTGGAGGATCCAAATTTCTTCAGTTTGATCAGCTAAATTACGTTACTCATGATCTAACTGTCGATTTATTTTACATTCACCTCTTCATATATTATTATTCTATTCAAATTCGAAATGATGAATGAATGCAATAATACAATAATATCATGCGAGTAACTAGTATTAATATATTAAAAGAAAAGAATTTGGAAAGAAATAAATTTTTAATGTCATTATTAATTATTATTTTATCATCATTACACGATTAAATATCCCACAGTTTGTGTAATTTTGAGCCAATATGTATGAAGTTACATCGGTCTTTGACTTATATAGTTACTTCCTCCATAAAATAATTATTATTGAAAAGGATTATTACTCTTTAAAGTAATTAATTGTATATTCTCTGTAAAAATTTTATCCCTGCTACATGATCAGCAATGGACCTTTCAATAAAAGTAAAAAATAAGTTAGATTTATGCAAAATCAATACCGAAAAGAGTTTAGTCATATGACTATTGCTTCATCTTTATTAAAAGTATTATTATTACGGTATTTTAATTGATGCTGTGAAATTAAATAAAAATATACAACGCGTGACAACCAGAATTTTACTGAAAAATGTCTGTGACGCTGGGTGAAAAAATATTGAACAAAAACTCGAGCTCTTAATAAAATCCTCCTCTAACAAGAAAGTTTCAAAAAATACAATATCATCCCACTTTTTTTTGTTACAGTAAATAAACCCCTTATCACCTCACCAATTACCAATAAAAATCCGATTGCCCCCTCATGCATTTTGAAATTCATTTTCCAAACTCTTATTTTACAAAGTACTGCGCAATTCAGATAATTTAACCGACAAAAAAAAATAAATAAATAAAACAATTCTTTACCCAACCTACTCATCCACGACTGTAAGCGTCAAAATAAAAACAAAAAAAAGGTGTAATTACATAGTACTTACCTGGTCGGATTTAATATTATCACTTGACAAGTAAAGTAGCGAAGTTGCTAGTTGGCCTTGCTTAACTGTCACTTTTAGGTGATTTCATTAGCTGATTTTAGATTTGTACTGTATTTTTGTCCATAACTCCATATAGACTATTCTTGGTTCTTGGGACCCGATTTCGCATAATAATAGCTATGTTTTTTTTTCTTTATTTTATTTGTTTTAGTTACATAATACATAATTTTGCAGCCGAAAATTATTATTGTGTAATGAATTCATATTTACTTTATTTGGTAGAAAGAATGTGATTGATCTTCTGACGTAACAACATAGGAATATATTACAGTATTAAAGGTCTTGTTTAATTCTTTAAAAATATTGTGCTTTCACAAAAATTCATTTATTTTTATTTACCGCCGCTGCACGGTTCAAAAATTGAAATTTTGCAATTTTGAAGGAAAATTTTTGTAAGTAAATACCAGACAATTTTGAGTGGATAGAGTTCGATCAATTTTGATCTACAAGATGCTTTCGGCACAATTTATTCCATTGTGTGGATGGAAAGATAATGGATTCAATAATGGCCCAGTTAAGATTATTTTAAAACGATTAAATGACTCCATAAGTGAATCAAGCAATTAGCTTTTTAGTAAATTTCTTTTAATATTTCATATTTTGGATGAATATGTTGTTTCTGATGATGTTAATGAAGATACAGATGAAGAAAGCAATGAACTCTCTGATGCTTCAACTATAAGAAAAGGAGTTTGAAGAAATAAAAGGAGTACCACATGCAAAAAAAGATCCGAATTAACCTAAAAACTAAAAAAACAAGTTTGTTTGAGATTATCTTCAGGTTGAAAATGGGCGTGATATCTGTAAAATACTTATTTCCTCAAATGGTGAATGTAAAAAGTTACAAGCATGATGGTGGAACTTTATCTTCAAACATGGAATTGTATCAGATGATATTCAACTTAAAGACTCAAATCAATTGCATATTAATACAATGGTCACCACATTGTACACCAAAACAACTTGAATTAAAAATGTGCTACAGTTGAATGGATAGCTACTGATTCAAAAATAAATAGTAATTTTTTATATGGATTACGGGTGGGTAGCAGGTGGGTAGCGGGTGGGTTGACGGGTTGGGTTGACCCGGGTAGAGATTTTTTTAGACGGGTCTCAACTTATAGTCACGTGACGACGTCAAAATAATTTTGACGTCGTCTGTCGTCACGTCGCTGAAGTAATTTAGAAGAATCAAATTTTAAAGATCAAGAAGTCATTTACTTAGCCAGAACTTATAAAAATATTTGTTATAATATTAAACAATCGAGTTCAAAATTTCATATGAAATTCCAATCAATATTATTAGAATAAGGTTAAACGCCACAATGATCGAAATTTTCACTCCCTTTTCAAAATCGTTAATCTCGAAATTAGGGTTAATGTTTACAATAAAGATTTGAAACATAATGGAAATCATTTCAAAATTTGGCAATCATATGGATTCTTTTTAAGTAATTGATTACCCCGTTTATCCCTCTCTTTAAATTAAAGATCGGACCTCTCGCGGATTTTAACTCTCGAAAAGAAAAATCTTTATGTATTTAATTACGTACATGCATTAATTCTAAATTTCGAATATCGGAATGGTTTCTTTTACTAGTGAACATGATAAATAATGTCTCATCCTAATTAAGACATATATTCGATGATCGTACGTCTTTAAGGGACAACAATTCTTTTAGAAAAAAACATGTTGCTCAAAATATTTAATATTCCACTCATTCCTTTTTTTGTGTACAAATGATATTTATTGAACAATTAAGATAAAGATTTTTCTATCGAATATATTAATTACAGTACCCGGATCTTATTCAAGAACCTCGACTTTTAAAATTGAATAGTACTCGTGAAAGTATAATACCCGAGTCTTAAATATTATTTTTGGGTACTATATGTAGTGGAACAGTATATTTTTAAATACTTGTTAATTTATTAATGAATTATCACAAGGTTATTAATGTAACAAAAGTAACCTTCAAAAAATTTGTTTCTCTGAGGTTACTATCGTTGAAGTTTATTAATAATACCGTTAGCTCATCTCCATACTAAAATCCGTACCACACACATATTCGTTCTACATTAGCTATAAGATGATGACTGTATAACAAAATTTTCTTGATGATTGGGTAATTTTTTGCTTTTACAATGAATCGGGTTAGAAAACAATTATTTCTCGTGATAAGTTAACTTTTTTTAGTCGACAATTATAGAAACTTGGCGCCAAAAATCAAAATTTAGAAAAATTAAAAAGACAAAAATGGAGGAACAAACGCCACAATAAAGAAATAAAGTATGACGAAAAATTCGATCTTTGTTGATCTGATATTTGATATAGCCTAATTGCCTAAAAACATTTTAATTGTAATGTCTATAATGATTTATTTCATTGAACTAATGAACCATCATTATACATTGTTTTAAATTCATCAAAATTGAACGAAATAGGCATTGACGAAGTAAATTTGGAAGTGTATAGCCATATAGGTGTACGAAATTTTCGTATGTTAAAAAAAAGAAATTGAAATAAAATTATTGAATTAGCAATTACAGTAGTATTTTTCCAAATTTTACGCACTTCTCTGGCAATAACAAGTATTTTGATCCCATAAACCTTTTTAAAGTACTTGAGTAACCAAACACTTTTTCATCAATAAAAAGATGGGAATGTCGAGTTTCTCCTTACCTTTTTTCCATCAAGCTTTCGTTTTGAATTTTCAATTTTAAAGTTAATTTAGTTCATAATGGAATTCCTTGAAGATGCTGTAAAAGCTATCTCCAGTCTGATAACTGGAGAACAAGGAACTAAAGGCGAGTGGGATAAAGAAAACCGTTACATGTCATTTGTTCAAGAAAGAAAAAATTGTCATGCAAAATGGTATGTCGACGGTAAGGACTATTTCTATGCTGTCTCGGAAGCTCTAATGAGCGCTAAAGAGGAAATTTTAATCGAAGACTTGTGGCTTTCGCCTGAATTGGTGTGTGGTATTAGCTTTTTATAGTAATTTATCATGACGCAAGCACGTGATAATCTAATTTTTTCAATTTAGTATCTTCGTAGACCTCCTGCCAAGAATGAAGAATATCGCCTTGACCGTTTACTTAAAAAGAAAGCAGAAGAAGGAGTGAAGATTTATGTCGTTGTTTATAAAGAAGTTCCCAAAACTAGTACTTATGACTCTTGGCATAGTAAAACTACTTTACAGTCATTGCACAAGAACATCCTCGGTAAGAATATTTTGCATTTTATTTTATTTGTCTGTAAATTTAGGATTTTGAGATACACCGTATATAAAAATTTTATATTAATGTCTTTTTAATTTAATTAACGGGTAGTGCAAAGACATCCTAACCATCTTATTAATGGGACTTTACTTTGGACGGTAAATGGTTTATTTGATTAATTGTTATTTTAATCGTTTGATTTAGTTAATTCATTAAACATTGATGTTTTTAAAATTAATCTCTTATTTTTTTTTTCGTGTTTATTTTATACGTGAAATTTAGCATCATGAAGTAAATGTTAAATTTTTTAAGTTTTAAGCGTAAAATAATTATAAGTATTGTAACCTTTTCTTTAAAATCATAGAAAATTATAGTTGTCGATAGGCATACTTCTTTCATTGGTGGTTTGGATTTGTGCTTTGGTCGTTATGATACTTCGACGCATCAACTTGCCGATTTCCATGAATATTCTAAACATTATTCTATCTGGCCTGGTCAAGATTATTCAAATCCTAGAATCAAGGACTTTTTTGATGGTATATTATCTGTTGATTTTGATCATTATTTTCCAACATGTGTAAATATGTATTTATTCTACTATTTTTAATTACAGTAAAATTTTGGGCAAGAACTATAATCGATAAAAAACAATTTGGGCGTATGCCATGGCATGATGTATCCATCGGTTTTGTAAGTATAATCACATTTAACCGTAAAATGCGAATTTTCCTAATACTATATTTAAGGGTTGATCCTTTGCGTATATTCACAGGTTGGCAAACCTACACTTGACATTGTGCGTCATTTTGTTCAACGCTGGAATTTTATCAAAAAAAATAAGGCAGAAGATCGTCCTGAATATCCAGTTTTGATTGCCAAATCTGATAAACAATATGATCGTGAACATCCTCCGCAAGTCAAACATTATAGCTATGGTAACGGACAAACTATTAGTTGTCATCCAGATGAAGGTACATGCGATGTTCAAATTGTCAGATCTAGTTCCATTTGGAGTATTGGTCTTAACGAAGTGGAGGTAATTTTTATAATTTCTTATTAATTCATGAATCTATATTCATATATATTGAACATAATTTGTATACATAGCATTCAATCCAAAATGCTTACGTCAAAATTATTGAAGAATCTCAACATTTCATATATATAGAAAATCAATTCTTCGGTAAGTCTACACTAATTATTATTACCTGAAGCCTTGAAGGATTTATTTATACGACTATTTTTTTTTATATATGTATTTATATTTTATTTTTTATAGTTACTGCCACAAAAGAAAGTGACAATTATCCAGTAAAGAATCTTATTGGAAAGGTAAAATTTTAGATTTAATAATATATGTATAAATGAATGATACATATTCACATTCATTAATTATCATACAGGCAATTGTAGATAGAATTATTAGAGCCTATAAGAATAATGAACAGTTCAGAATCATTGTTTCCATGCCTTTGCTTCCAGCTTACGAATCTGAATTTGATTCCAGTGATGTTACCAGTAATGTCGGTACTATTCGGTAAATGTCCCAAATTTGATGTGATCTTATTTCTTAAGCGAAATATCAATTTCATTTTTTATTTAACTTTCTTAGTACTATCGTACATTACCAACTCAAATCAATTTGCCGAGGTGGATATTCAATTTTTGAAGTTTTAAAACAAAATGGTGTTACTAACCCTGAAAAGTACCTTGGGTTTTACGCACTTCGTACTTTTGACAAAATCAATCCTAAGTCCGTAGAAAAAGGTTTGGGCGTATTAAATGATGAAATAGAGTTTGGAAGAAATCCTGTAGTTGCTGAAACTGCTGATAAAAATCCTTCTGGGAACTACATAACTGAAGAAGTATACATTCACAGCAAACTTTTAATTGCTGATGACAGAATTGTTATATGTGGTTCCGGTGAGTAAAAGTTTCTTCTTCAAAATCTTTATGCGTTTTCTTTAATTAATTGTACTTATTTTTTTATTATAGCTAATTTAAATGAAAGATCACAAAATGGTGATTTTGACTCTGAAATTGCTGCTGTTATTGAAGACAGGGAATACATTGATTCTAAAATGGCTGGCAAAGACGTAATTATTCTTTTATCTTTAAATCTTAGTTAGCATTAGAAGGTACTCAATTTAATTTGTTTTTATTTAGTGGAAAGCTGGAAAGTTTGCAGCCACTTTACGCCGTCATATCTTTAAGGAACATCTTGGATTGTTTAATGAAACTGACCATGAAAAAGTTAATACATTCTGTTATCCACCACCAATACCTGTTGATTATCAAGAACTCTCTAAAGAAGATTATATTGTTCAAGATCCAGTTAGCGACGAATTTTATTATAAACATTGGCACCAAACTGCTACCATTAATACAGAAGCTTTTCGTACAGTGTTTCGTTGTGTTCCAGATGATAATCGTAATTATGATTTCTTAATAATTTTATTTTTTCTAATTTGTTTGTATTGAAATTTATTTTATTTTTTTTTTTTTTACAATTATTTTTTTTAGTTACGAGCTGGGATGATTTCAAAACGTTTGTTCCAGATCGATCAAAGATTCCAGCTGGTCACGTTCATAATCATAAATTAACCAACGAAGAAATTGAAGCAGAATTAAGTAAAGTAAAGGGTCACTTGGTTCACTATCCGTTACAATTTATGAATAAAGAAAAATTGTCAGGATCATTTACATTAGATTCTATGGCTCCTACGGAAGTATACATTTAAATTCACTTTTAAGATAATTAATTTATTTTACATTTTTATTGTCATAATTAGGTATCAATTTTGATATCTATTTGTTTTATTATAAATTATATTTTTTTCGAATGTGTAAAAAAAATTGAATAACTTTTAACATTCGCTGACGCGCGACTTGTGAATTGTTACTTTTGAAAAGTCCTTGTAAAAAATTAAATTAAAAAATAAATTCTAAATAAAATTTTCTTGATTGTAACTGAAGCCCAATCATGCTATGTGAGACTAAGGTCACGTATCGTTTAAAAAACGATTTTTAAATAATAGGCTGGCTATTGCGTCATGAATTTGTGCCGCATTAATTGCACATCATGTATATGCTACCGTACAATTGACAAAGCAGCTGAGTTGAGTACTTTATAGCGTGATTAAACAAAACTATGAACTGCAATAACTCACTCTATATTTATTGTAGAGTAAACACCTTGAATTTCTGAATATTATAATAAATATCATATCATACTAATTAAAAAACGTTTAGAACGTTTGTAATTTTACTAATATCATCAGCTCCAAAACTGAGGTTTACGAGAAATTTTTTAGGATTTTTAAGCAAAGTTTTTATTAGAATTCGCGTTAATTTATTAAATACATCACATGACTTAGAAACGAATGGCGACCACACCGACACATATGAATTATGGTATTTAAAATATCGATGATCGAGAATCTATAATGTTTTCTAACATACTACAACTTAAGTAATGATAACATTAGACTCATTAGGCTAATAACATTTGGCTATTTTAAAATGTTTTAATTAATAATTTATACGACCGTATATTTACTTTCGGAGTAAAATTCCAATTCCGGCCATTCCGGCAGCAGTGATTGTGGTCTATAATAAAAGTATATGTTCGTTAACATAATAATTTAAAATTAAATTTATTATTAAAAAAAAAAAAAAAATTAAAAAATATAAATATATACCCCTGCCATAAATCCCATTAAACCTGGATCAAACGAAGATTCATCTAAATTAACAAAAATATTAGTATAATTAATTAATAAGAAAAATATGTAAAAAATAAATGAACAATTACTTTTTTTAATCTTCTTATTCTTATTAGACTTAATAGCATTAAAAATCTTCTCATCAGTAATATCAACAAAATGAATAGGATCTTTTCCCTTTTCATTTGTATAAGATATACCAATCACTATATCATTAAACCTCTTTTTAGCTAGTTCTTTATATTTTAGGGTACGTTCTTTAACATCATTTATACCATCTATTCTAGCTTTTTTTGCCTTATCACCATGATTATTATTAAGCCACTTTGTTTCAATAACTAAATAAATTCCTCCATAATCAGATCTAAATATCAAATCACCAATTTCATTCTCACAAACGCTATAATTATTATCATTATCATCATTATAACTCCATTTAAAATCGACAAAATAATTAAATCCAGGTAATAAATCATTAATATTATCAATTATTCTATTTCTTAAAATATCTTCAGAATGATCAATATCATAATTTTCCTTCCATTCTTTTACTTTCACATTATGTTGATTTTGTAATTCATTAACAAAAGGTTTATACCAATCTTTAATAATTGGCATAATTCTTTCTAATAGAGTTTTATCATAATTAACATAAAATTCCATTTTCGAATTTGCTTTTGTAACATGACACATTATAATAATACCATTTTCTCCAAAAACTTTTTGAAGTAATTTAGTAACATCATCATGTGAAGAAAATTCAAAAAATCCCAAAAGTAATGATTCTGTCTCTTCTTGATAAGGAAAAGATAATATTTGAAAACATATATTAAGAATTAATGATCTTTGTTTTTCATTATTTATATCAATTACGTAGGAACTCATGATAAATTTTTTTTCTTTTTAATCGAAAAAAAAGAAAAAAATAGGTTCGTTTATTATTATTAAACCCAATTTTTATATTGAACTATTTTATTGAACATGATTTTTAAGGTTAACAAATCCCAAATTTAGTATAATGGAAGGTATGAATCATTGTTTAACAATAACAATTTAAATATCACCGCATTAATTATCACGTTCTAATATTATTTTCTGGTGGTCATAGCGTAATCCATAAACTGTAAATGCCATAATAACCATAAAAGCCATAGAAGCCATAAAATTTCGGTGGAACATTCCAAATTTCGAAATTTTAAATCCTCAAAATCCGGTAAATATATATCATAACGAACGTATCTATAAGATTATGTAACTTGGCGTAAAAGTACATGTTATACAATGAGATCATCGATCATCTTAAAACAAGAAATGCTTTTGTCTCCAAAATATCTACATTTCTTTTAAAAAGAAAAAAAAAAAAAAAAATAATTGTATAAAAACATTCTTCTCTCCACATTTTTTTCAACTCAATAACTTTTTCATCATGAGTTTAATTTGTCATTGTTATACTTGTAACGTTAAATATCCAACAAAAGCTTATATTTTTTCATCAAATAATGAGGATGAACAAAATATTATCATTCAAATTTGTAAAAGAATTCTTGAAGCTATTCAACATAAACATACATCAACAGAAATTTCTTATGATGATAATATAATGTTACATAAACAAATTCGTAATATTAATGAAATTGAAAATTTGATTAATAAAGAATTTATTCAACTCTTTGAACATAAGATATTACGTAAAGAAATAAAAAAACTTCCAATCGGTATTTGGAGAATAGGATTTAAATGGGATGAATTTAATAATGATTCTTTAATAAAAAATATTTTAAAAATTTCAAGAGAATGGTATTATAATTTTACTAAATATTTTCAAAAAATAGATGATCAAAAAAGAGATATTGGAACATTTAATTCATTTAATCCTGATTTAAATAATAAAAATGAGGATGAATTAAAACAATGTCTTTTAGATAATTTAAAAAATTATCTTTTAGGTTTTGAATATTTAATCGATTATTCTTGGAATTTATATGATAATTATGAAGGAAATTTTATTTTCGCTTCAAATTCTGGTATTTTTATCGTAGTTGAGACTAAATATTTAAATGTTAAAAAAAATGAATATAATGATATAAGCATATCTTCTCTTAATAATGATGTTAAAGATCAATCTTTAAAATATAAAGATAAAGTTGCAATGGAATTTAATGGAAAATATATTACACTTCTTGGAGCAACACTTATATGTGATCTTGATGCGAATAGTTTAGATAAAGTTACATTTGAGTTTAATGATAATGATGAAATTATTGCGCGACATATTAAGGAAGTTCATGACTTTTCACCACGAAGATATAATGAATTTAATGGATTTAATAACTTGGATAAATATGAAGTAACTGATGATAAATTTGATGGATTACAAACTCTCTCAAGTCAAAATAATCAAGATACAACTTCAATACTACAAGGTATCATTTTTAATGTGTAATATTGCTTTTAATTAATTAAAATACTTGTTAAAAATATATATGTAATATTTTTTTTTATAGGTACAATTACTAAAGTTGCTGCTGCAGCTGCAGTTGGTTATATGATTTATCGAACATTTTCAAGAGGAAATCATTCCAATTAAATATAAATTTATGGTGTAGAATACTTGTAGAATTATGGAGAATCAAAAGTTTAATTATTATTATTTTTTCTTTTTTTTTAAATATCAATTTTTAAGTACCACGCTTTTTGAAATAAAGAAATCAATTATATTATATTAATTGTTTTTGATCAAGGATGAAAAGGGTAGTTTTGACGACCCAATCGGAATAACCGAGATTACTAAATATCAAATCATGAAGTCCCCGATGTTTACCTTTAAACTACAATAACAAAATAGCAAAAATATCGAAAATCCAAAATTTTTTTTATTAATACATTTTTTATACACCTTAATCATAGTTGATAATGTAAGATGTTGATCTTTAATCCCGACTGACTACTCTAAACCTATTAGGGTCTTCAAAACATGGAATTATCAACGTTATGCAGTTATGAATTTACACATGTTTTATCATATGAATTTTCATTATTTTGATAAAAATATTCTTTGTTCATTCTTTATAATACGCCACATATCAGATATAGTACTTAAAAACAACAATGGCATATAACGATAAGCGAGAAATTCAGAGTCCAAATTTGGTTACTATTTTTTTTTTTTTTTTTAAAAAAAAAAAAAGTGAATTTGGTACATGGACTTGGTGTAGTTTTTATGTTTTCTTTTTTTTTTTTTTAACCAAACCCTTTATCTTATAATTCATAATCATGAGCTTAGCTTGTCATTGTTATAGTTGTAATGTTAATTATCCAGAATTCATTTATCCATCATCAGATACATAAAATCTTATCTTACAAATTTGTAAAGGAATTTTTGAAGCTATTCAAAATGAAAATACTTCAGCAGAAATTATTTGTTCAATATTACATGAGTAAATTCATAATATTCATGAAATTGAAAATTGTATTAATAGAAATTTTAATAGAAATGACATATTATGTAAAGAAATAAAAAGACTTTCAACCGATACTTGGAAAATACAATTTAGATGGTCTGAATCTCGATATAATGATTCATTAATCAAATATCTTTTAAAAATTTCAAAAGAATGGTATGACCCTTTTACCAGATATCTTCAACATATAGATCGTCAAAAAAGAAATGAATGGTTATCCGATAAAGATACAAATATAAAGGAAGATGAATTAAAACAATTACTTTTAGATAATTTAGCCGATTATCTTCCAGGATTTAAGTATCTATTTGAATATTCTTGGGATTCATATGATGATAATAACAATCTTCATAAAGGAGATTTTATCATCGCTTCAGATTCTGGTGCTTTTCATCGTAATTGAAGTTAAATGGTTTAATACGAGAAATGAACTTGATTTGAATATAACTCATGAAGATGCTGTTAATTCCAAAGCTTTAAAGTGTAAAAAATATATTACACTTATCGGTGCAACTTTTACGAATTTCACAATTGAACTTATTGATAATGATGAAATTATTATGCAAAATCTTAAAGAATTTCATAATAGTCAAGGTAATTATTTTTTACGTATCGATTTTCAATTCATCATTACGTTCATTAAAAATTTATTATTTATATTACTTTTATTACTTCTTTTTTTTTTCGGTTCAAGAATAAATCACAATAAACTTACTCATCCGTCCCAACAAGGTAAATAGTTAACTTATGAGTATCATCGTTTTTTCATTAATTTAAAAAAATTTATTAAAATTATTATTTATTATTTTTTTTTTGTTCAAAGAAGAATCACCTTCTATATTAAATACAGGTACAGTTGTTGGAATTGCTTTAATTGCTTTTAATTAATTAAAATACTTGTTAAAAAATATATATAATACTTTTTTATAGGTACAATTACTATAACTGCAGCCGCAGCTGTAGTTGTTGGTTATTTGATCTGTCGAACATTTTCAAGAAGAGATGATTAAATTATTGTACCATAATAAATTTATAGTGTAGAATTATGGAAAATCAAAAGTTTAATTATTATTATTATTATTATTTTCTTACTATAAGATAATATCAATTTTTAAGTACCACGCATTTTGAAATAAAGAAATCACCTTCAAATAATTATTAAGTGAATTATATTATTTTAATTGTTTTTGATCAAGGATGAAAAAGTAGTTTTGACGACCCAATCGGAATACCGAGATTACTACCTTTAAACTGCAATAACAAAATAGCAAAAAATAGCGAAAATCCAATTTTTTATTAATCCATTTTTTATACGCCTTAATTGTAGTTGATAATGTAAGATGTTGATCTTTAATCCCGGCTGATTACTCTAAACTTATTAGGGTCTTCAAAACATGGAATTATTAACGTTATGCAGTTATGAATTTACATGTTATCATATGAACATCTATTATTTTGATAAAAATATTCTTTGTTCATTATTTATAATACGCCACATATAGTACTTAAAAACAACAATGAAACCATTTTCACGCATATAACGATAGGCGAGAAATTCAGAGTCTAAATTCGGTTACTATTTTTTTTTTTTTTTAAAAAAAAAAGTGAGTAGTTTTTATATTTTCTTTCTTTCTTTTTTTTTTTTAACCAAACCTTTATCTTATAATTCATAATCATGAGCTTAGTTTGTCATTGTTATAGTTGTAATGTTGATTATCCAGAAATCATTTACCCATCATCAGATATGCAAAATCTTATCTTACAAATCTGTAAAGGAATTTTTGAAGCTATTCAAAATAAAAATACTTCAGCAGAAATTATTTGTTCAATATTACATGAGCAAATTCATAATATTAATGAAATTGAAAATTGTATTAATGAAGAATTTAGTAGAAACGACATATCGATAATATGTAAAGAAATAAAAAGACTTTCAACCGATATTTGGAAAATACAATTTAAATGGTCCGAATCTCATGATAATGATTTATTAATCAAATATCTTTTAAAAATTTCAAAAGAATGGTATGACCAGTGTTGTCATAGGGACGGGACATGTCCATGGACAGGACGGGACGGGACAGTCCAGGACACGTCCAAAGATTTTAGCAATGTCCGGGACATTGGGACATTAAAATCACGTGATCTTAATTATAAATTATAGCCGTCTTGATAAGACAAATTGTAAACTTGGACAATTTTTGGACGGGATGTGGACGGGACATGGACGGGACAATGTCCGGGACATTAAAATTTTGGCGGGACATGTCCCATGTACAACACTGGGTATGACCCTTTTACCAACTATCTTCAACAGATAGATCATCAAAAAAGAAATGAATGGTTATCCGATAAAGATACAAATATAAATAAAGATGAGTTAAAACAAAATCTTTTAGATAATTTAGAAGATTATCTTCCAGGATTTAAGTATCTATTTGAATATTCTTGGGATTCATATGATGATGATAATAATCTTCATAAAGGAGATTTTATCTTCGCTTCAGATTCTGGTGTTTTCATCGTAGTTGAAGTTGATATAACTCATGAAGATGCTGTTAAAACCAAAGCTTTAAAATGTAAAAGTAAAGCTTCAGAAAAATATGTTGGAAAATATATTACACTTATCGGCGCAACTTTTACGAATTCCACAATTGAACTTATTGATATAAATGATGAAATTATTATTCAAAATCTTAAAAAATTTCATAAGTTCTCACAATCTTTCAATAATAATCAGATTACTTATCCAGGTAATTATTTTTACGTGTCAATTTTCAATTCGTTATTACGTTTATTAAAAATTTATTATTTATATTTACTTTTGTTACTTCTTTTTTTTTCGGTTCAAGAAATAAATCACAATCAACTTACCCATCCGTCCCAACAAGGTATGAATATCGTCGTTTTTTCATTAATTTAAAAAAATTTATTAAAATTATAATATTTTATTTTTTTTTTTCGTTCATAGAAGAATCACCTTCTATATCAGTTGCAGGTGCAGTTGTTGGAATTACTGCCGCTGCAGCAATTGGCTATGTAATTTGTTCAAGAATTCCAATAAAAACTGTCGTAACAACTGGTACTATGATTTATAAAGCGTATCAAGATTATCAAGAAATTTCAAGAAATAATGATAATAATAATAACAACAATAATAATAATAACGATAACAAAATGAAACTCGATTAATGATCTTTGCGAGTTTACTTTCAAATAATAAATTCAGATTTCAAGTCTGGATCAGAATTCGATTTTACTTAAAATTATCAGCATTCGGTGAAAAATATTTCAAGAACGTTCAAGCGTTATTTTACTTTATTTTTATCCTTCACATTATGATCATATGGTCATGAATTCAAATTCTCAACAAAATTCTTATAATACAAAGACTTGATGTAGTAAAATACAATACATTACTTATATATATAACGAGAATTAGTCGCATTTGTTATATTAGCCTTCTAATAATAATCACACTCGATTACTCTTTACATTCCTTACGTTCTTTACCTCTTTTTCACTTACCTTTCAAAACAAAACTGGACATATGACACCAATTTTGGTTGCTGGGTCGAAAATGATCTAGTAGTAGTACAAGAAGTTTTTTAATAATAATCACACTCGATTAATTTTTACATTTCTTACGTTTACCTCTTTTTCACTTACCTTTCAAAACAAGACTGGACATATGACACCAATTTTGGTTGCTGGGTCGAAAATGATCTAGAAGTAGTACAGTGCTAAGAAGGTAATAGCTCTATAAAAAGCTATTTTGCAGCAAAATAAAAATTCACCAGTATTCTATATTGGATATTCAATAAACCGGAACTGGTTTTAAACCGGATATTTTGGTGGAACAGATATTTCGGTATATTGTTTCGCCTAACTTACTTTTAACTAGTTTATTGCTATAAATTGTTAAGCCGATTTGATAATTGTTTTTCCTTTGTTACACTCAAAGTTATGTGAATAAATTCCAGTTAATTTGAAACACACAAGCTTTTTGCAGTAGAATTGCAGTAGATGATGTAAACTATGTAACAATCAAAGATGAATAATAGATCATCTGGTTCAAAGTAATCGGTTTTGTTTCCGAATTTGGCAATAAATCAATAATAAAAAGATTCAATTTTTTTTTTCAACTTAAAAAGTACTTCTTTATTTCTTATTTTTTTTCTCGTATATAATAATCCATCATGAATGTATCTTGTCGTTGTTATAATTGTAACACTAATATCCCAACAAACACGTACGTTTCATCAAATAATAGCGATAAACAAAACCTTGTCTTACAAATTTGTAAAGGAATTTTCGAAGCTATTCAAAATGAAAATACTACAGCAGATATTAGTTGTTCAATGTCTCATAAACAAATCCGTAACACTAATGAAGTTGAAGAATGTATTAATAAAGAATTTGGTCAACTCTTTAGAAATAACGTATTACGTAAAGAAATAAGTAGTTATTCAATCTTTAATACTTGGAGAATTAGATTTAAATGGAGTGAATTTAATAATGATTCATTAATCAAAAATCTTTTAAAAATTTCAAAAGAATGGTATAATCCTTTTACTAATTATCTTCAAAGAATAGATAGTCAAATGAGCAATAAACGGTTTTATGAACAAAATGGGAAAGATGATATTTTAGATAATTTAAAAAATCTTCTTCCAGGATTCGATTATTTGATTGAATATTCTTGGAATTCATATTATAATAATTATTGTTATGGAGATTTTGTATTCGCTTCATATTCTGGTATTTTTATTAAGGTTACAGTAAATACAAAGGATGGTCATAGATTTCAATCTTTAAAAAATAAGAATAAATCTCTAGAAAATTTTGAAGGGAAATACGTTACACTTCTTAGAGCAACATATAATCATGATGAGGATGATTCGGAAAATGCCACTCTCGAATTTATTGATGATAGTGATGAAATTATTGTACAAAATCTTAAAAAAATTCATACCACCTCTCTACAAAGATACGATAATAATCGAAATCGAGAAGGTAATTAACTAATGCATATTCTCTTTTTCAATTAATTAATATGTTAATAAAATAATTTTTTTTTTTTTTTTCTCAGAAGAAATTGTTGATCAAATTGCAACAGTCGCAGCAGGTGCTGTTGTTGGAATTGCTGCCGTTGCTGCCGTTGCGGGAGTTGGTTTTTTAGCTTATAAAGCAGCTACGAATAAAACCGTTAGAAGAGCTGCTACAGCAGTTAGCTATGGTCAACTAGCATATTCACTTATTAAAGAATTTGAAGAATTTGAGGAAAAAAACGAGAGAGAGAGGAATAATGATGATGATTAATTCTCTAATCATTTTTATTTTTATGTATTCATTATTTTTTTTTGAAAAATTTTTTATGGGATTTAGAATTTATAGAAATATTTTTTTTTTTTCTGGTAAAATTATATTAATTGATTTACGACATTTTTTTTAACTAGCATTTATTAACATTTATTAACTAGTATTTTATATTTTAAATGACGAGATTTTGACTGGAAATTTCCAATTATAAGCCGTCTATAACAAAGTAATTCTGTTTTATCATTGATTGAAATTGCGAAATTATTTTTATTAGTAACTTATCGGCATAGATAGATAAGATAGATATATTGGATATATTATACATTTTATAACCATCAAAAAATTATTATCAATAGAAAATAGTTTATATATAACAAATTATTGTCATTGTTATAGTTGTAACGTTGAATTTCAAGCAAACATATCAATAATAGAAATGAACAGAACCTATGTTGTAAATTTGTGGAGAAAATTTCAAAGATATTAAAAATGAACATTGAAATTTCTTATACGGTAGTGTAATTTTATATAAACAAACACGTGATACTAATGAAATTCTGAAAAATTCTCACTTTTTAGAAAACGTATTACGACTATCACGTAAAATAATAGTATCTTTCAATCGATATTTGACAAATAGAATTTAAATGGATTAAATCTTTAAAAAATGAATATGCCTTGTAGATGATGTTAAAACTTAAAAGCTTTAAAATGTAAAAATTAAAACTTCAGAAATCTTGATGAGAATCGTAATTGAGAGAAAGTCACAATCGAATTCATTAAAATGATGAAATTATTATGCAAAATCTTAAAGAAATTCATAATTTTCACGATAATATATGAATTTTCCACTCGATCTTCCAATCGTTAATACTCATCCATCCTAACAAGGTAAAGATAATTTATGCGTATGAGCGTATCGTTTTTTCATTAATTAATAAATTTATTAAAAAATTATTGCTTTTTACTGCAAGGTATATCAGTTGCAGTTTGAGGTGTAGTTTTTGAAATTGCTGCCGTTATAGCAATTGGCTATGTAATTTGTACACAAATTTCAAAAAAAAAAACTCGACACCATGATTTATAGAGCATTTCAACAAGATTATCAAGAAATAATCCCAATAACAATATCAATTAATAAGAAATTTTTGTAAGTTTACTTCCAAATAAATAAATTTCATCCCTATAAAAACGAAATGTGTTAAATTTGTTTTATATTTGTGCTCATGTGTAATAAATGTCTAAAAAAGTACCATTTTGTCCAATTTATGTCTTATTACAAAAAAACAAAAATTAAACAAAATGGTGCTTTTTTAGACATTTATTACACATGAGCACGAATTTAAAATAAATTTAACACATTTCGTTTTTATAGGGCATATTTCAAATATCTACAATTTATAATACGTTTTCAACATCAAATGGTTAATGAACAAATTTTTACTATTCATGAACGTTCAAGCGTTATTATTTTATTTTATTTTTAACTCTTCACATGATAATGAATTCAAATTCTCTTTACAATGTGAAGAATCGCTGTTTTACTTGATTTCAAGAAGTTTTTAAAATGAATAATAGACTTGATTCATATAATAAATATATGTGTACATAACGAGAAAGTTTTCTTAGTCGCATTTTTGATTTTGCTGCGGTTGCAACAAAAGATGAAAGTTTATAGGAAGAAGCAACGATTAATTGGTTTTAAAACCTTAGTGATTTATGCCCGAGCATCACATTAAAGAGACCCTAAGATTTTAACCAAACATTTTAACTCCAACTGGGATTAAAATTTTATCAAAAATTTCGTCCAACTGTTTTAAAATTGCTAGGCAGTCAGACTACCTATATACATGTACTGTACAACATTTATCATTAGCAATTTTCTTTTGTGGGTTTAAAATGTTTAATACCAAGATAACAATCGATCAGTAATGATTGTTCTCTTATCACCTATATCTAGTACTACTCACTTTTCTGAATAGTGGTTTACTAATTATACAACCTAAATAAAACTAAAATACTCCTGAATTTTAATTTATTGATAATTATAAGCATAAATATTATAACTGTGCAGAAACTGCAACAAATGAAACAAATGATGTAAACTATGTGAAAATCAGATGAATAGATAATCTGATTCAAGAAAACGGTTTTGTTTCCGAATTTGGTAATAAATTAATTATAAAAAGATTCAATTTTTTTTTCAACTTAAAGAGTTACTTTCTTCTTTATTTCTTCTTTTTCTCGTATATAATAATCCATCATGAGTGTATCTTGTCATTGTTATAATTGTAACGCTAATTATCCAACGAGTTCTTTCTACCTTTCATCAAATAATAACGATAAACAAAATCTTATTTTACAAATTTGTAAAGGAATTTTTGAAGCTATTCAAAATGAAAATACTATAGCAGAAATTAGTTGTTCAATGTCTCATAGACAAATTCGTAATACTAATGAAGTTGAAGAATGTATTAATGAAGAATTTAGTCAACTCTTTAGAAATAACGTATTACGTAAAGAAATAAGCAGTTATTCAATCTTTAATACTTGGAGAATTAGATTTAAATGGAACGAATTTAATAATGATTCATTAATCAAAAATCTTTTAAAAATTTCAAAAGAATGGTATGATCCTTTTACTAATTATCTTCAAAAGATAAATAATCAAAAAAGTAATAAATGGTTTTATGAACAAAATGGAGAAAATGCTATTTTAAATAATTTAAAAAATCTTCTTCCAGGATTCAAGTATTTGGTTGAATATTCTTGGAATTCATATCATTATAATAATTATTGTTATGGAGATTTTGTTTTTGCTTCAGATTCTGGCATTTTTATTGTGGTTACAGTAAATGCGAGAGATGGTCGTAGATTTCAAGCTTTAAAATATAAAAATAAAGCTTCGGAAAATTTTGAAGGAAAATATGTTGCAATACTTGTAGCAACATACAATCATGATGAGGATGATTCGGAAAAAGCCACGCTCGAATTCATTGATGATAATGATGAAATTATTATGCAAAATCTTAAAGGAATTTATAACAATTCCTTTTTACAAAGATGTTATAATAATCGAATTGAAACTAACTCTTTACAAAGATACGATAATAATCGAATTGGAACTTTAGTACGAGAAGGTAAATTTATTTATACGTATCCCTTTTTTCAATTAATTGAATGTATTAAGAAATAGTCTTTTTTTTTTTATCTTCAGAACAAATTGAAGACCAAGTTGCAAAAGTCGCTGTTGGAATTGCTGCTGCTGCTGCCGTTGCGGGAGTTGGTTATTTGGCTTATAAAGCAGCTTCGAATAAAACCGTTAGGAAAGAAGCTTCTGAATTTGCTACTGAAGTTATTGCTAGAGTTGGCTTTGGTCTAGCATATTCATTTATTAAAGAACTTGAGGAAGAGGGAAAAAGAGGGAGAAAGTAACAGTAATAATGATTAAATTTCTTTTAAATACTGTATATTTAATTTCTTATTCATACTTTTCACTATATATGTATTCATTATTTTTTAAAAAATTTGGTGGAATTTATGAAGTAAAATTTATTTAGTTAAGGTATTTGTATTGCTATATTTGACTGTACTATAATTTTATCAATAAACTTCAGTTTATATCCAGAATATTTGGAATTGTAAAATTTTATCCTTGACAAAACAATTCTATTTATTTCGTTGATTGAAATTAAGAAAAAATTTTAACAAATAACTAGCACTACAATACTCTTAAAAGTTATGAAGTGTCACAAAAGCATTGGACTCAAACTCAGCATATTTATACTTTTCACGACAATTATTATTTATACATTCATCAATCGTCATAGTTTCAATCAATCGTCCAAGATTCTTTTACCGCATTACCATACATCCTTTGTAGTGAGAATACTTAATATTGTACGTTATATTGAGATTGTCCTCAGTATACTCGAACTGTAAAAGCGCCTTTCGCTACATGGATAAGTCACTTTACCAGTTAAGTATCAGTGGACAAAATAGATTGCACGTTTTTTCATCAACTTGAATACGACAAAGTTATTTGAGGCAATTTTTTTAATGCAATATAATTTGACTAGTGTAAGAGACGGGGAATATTAACCGTTTGGGCTATTCCATTAACGCATCAAAAGTAGAAAATAAAACACTCCGTTGAAGCAACTTAGGAATTTGGCTGAAAATCTCCCAATTTTCATCACATTTGATGTTGCACGTTTCATTTGCCTACAGATAAAAGGAGAGGTTGAAATTGAATGAGGTGAACTAAAAGAACGATTAAGTCACAGTGATCAGCGATGTGCTATTATTGGAAACTTCCAATTCTTCACTGGAAGTTTCCAATATCATAGATTTACATATCGTATATATGTAGAATAATATGGATAAAAAAATCATTGGAAGGTCCAATTCCAATATAAAGTCGTTAGAAGCTTTCAATGCATATCACTGGATTTAAGAAGTTAATTTTTTAGTAATTTGAACTTTTTCGATATCATAATAAAACTTCAACTCACTGTTTAGAAGTAGTATGTAGTAAGCAGATTCGGTAATCCAACCTAATAGATAACGTGATTGATTATCGCATCGGCCAGAATTAAGCAAGTGGTTCTAACTCAGCACTCAGCAGCGATTTTAAATCACGTGACTAAGGTCAATAAACAGGATGTTGATGTAATTTTCTAGATCACGTGATCGAACACGGTTCCCCATAATTTTTTTTTTTAAAAAAAAACCAGTTCAAAGCGCACACCATTTTCTTTCTTTTTTTTAGAGCAGTTTTTGCGGATCTTACTTACTGATGAGTGGGAAGGGGAAGAGGGTTTTTTTTTTTGAAATTTACCGTTAAGAAACGGTATTAAGTTCTCTTGCTTTCAGATATTTACGGCGTATAAAAAATTATAGCAAATCGAATTAAATTATAGCAAATTGAATTACGGCACTACTGAATTTACGGCATTTACGATTTATTCCGGCGTTACGCCAGTGACTCCACGTGCTGTAACCGTAAAAACAATTTCGACAGCACAAATACAGACCTTTTACCAAAAACTATTAGTTCTTAGTGTTAGTTGGGTTCCGTCCAAAAATCTCGAAACTCAAAATCTCGGATCCAAAATCCCGACAGAATCTTACATAATTAAAATATGATTAAGAATTAACTGTTAATATTCAAACTTCTGATGAAAAAGAACCCAATCGTTGTACCAGTCAATTTAAAAATCATACTTTTATAATATTAAATAATTTAATTAATAATTTATTTCTATGATGAAATATTATTTTTTTTATGCTTCCTAAAATTATAATACCAATAAAAATTTAAAATGAAGCAATTAATAACATTAAGTTTTTAAAAACAAAATAATGTTCATCAACTATATAATCATGCTACAGTATATTATAATATACTGTAGATCGTATAGTACAGTATCTCGGGTATCTTGCGAATTTCAGAAGGTTGACTCTGTATCCCTCTATTACGTAAGTTTTTGTTATTAATAGAAGTATGTATGTATGAATAATCGGGAACGCGTAAATGTTTAAATAAGATCGCCAGAAATGATGAGTACTTACTATACATAGGACTGTGGGTACAATATCTATATTCCTCAGTTCTGCACGCATGTACATGTACATGCATTAAAACAAGCTACATAGATTATGTAATCGATATTTGACGTAGCCAGGGTTAAATAATTCTCCTGTGATCCATTGACGGAGTCTATATACTATAGTGATTCTAAAAGTCTTTTGACATTGAACTAACTCCTTTCAGTGTTCTTAAATTCTTACCGTTCCTTTTCTCCGCACGTTGCCTGAACTAAAGCCAATCGATTGCTTCAACGATTAATTATATAGCACGGACTAAAATTATATTATAATTACTTTCCTTTAATTTCGCACGGAGTCGTTCCACATTTTCATAATTGTAAAACACTTTTTATAATAGTCTATAAACAATATGGATTGTGATGTTGACGGTCCATCGTTTCGGATAGTAAAATTATTATACCGATAGCCAGTCTAAATACTTTGATATAGAAGTTTAACATCTGTACATAAGAGCGAATATTGAGTCTGCTAGTATTTTAAGGTCTGGATAAGATGACCTCATTTTTTGATTGCCTTTATTTGGTGAGACACAGTATTGAGATTGCATATGAATTTTACCTCTGCATATACTCCATAATCGGTATGTTATAAAAAATTGTTATTTGACTACGGAGTTCGTCAGGAGAATTTTAATCAGTCGTTATTGTTACTGAAGTTTTGAACTTCATAAACGAAAAAATAAAGTGGTGATTTTTTTTTCATTAAAGGTATGATGATATGTGGAGTTGTGTTTTATGGAATATAACTGGTCCCGTAAAAAACTTTCCGTAACTCCGGTAAATGATCACTTTTCTAGTTCTATATCTGAAAAACTCAGACATGTGATCAATTTATTAAAAAATTTTTACAGGAGTATTTTATTCTAATATTCATAAATATTTATAAATAAATAAATATATAATCCTTGATTGGATACTTTCCCATACTTTTGTTCAAAAAAATTTTTAATATAAATTCAAAAATCAAGTTTTAGATCCAGATGAGAAAATCTGCTGGAATACCAATCATTAGGACCATGTTAAATATAAAGAAGATAATTGGATATAAAAGAAAATAATTCTTAAAAAAATATACTATATTTAGAAAATCATTGCAAAATACTTTTTAGGTTAAATTAATTTGTTTTTTTATTCCAAGTTCGCAAATACGCCTTGTTCATTAATGGTCTTGAAAGAGATTTACAGAACTGTTTACGCCGTGTAAAAGTTTTGATAACTTTAATCGTGTACTATACTATAAAAATAATTTTTAATTTTTTTTTTTTTTTTTAATTATTGTTCATAAAGTAGTACTGATCAAAGTAAGTTCATCTTATCAAAAGGTATCTAAACTTCTAAAGGTACTAGAAAGTTCGAAAATTTGAAATCACACAAAGCTAATACACGTGTATTGATTATAAGATAAATTTACCATTTTAAAAATTCATTCATGTGTACAATAATAATAATTCTCTAAAGACAATAATATTAAATTTAATAATAATAAAAGGTCTAACTATTTTATATTTCAAATTATACATATATATATATAATATATATATATATAACGTGGAATATCATACTAATTCTTATTTATCCTATTTAAATCCAAAAATAGGATTTGATTCAATTTCAGATAAGAAAAATAAATTAGGGGTAATTAATACTAAAATCGGAAAGTAATTACTTCATTTCTAATATTATTCTAACAATTTTATTATTTTATTATTTTATAGATCAGGAATGATCAAAAAAATTATATAGTATTTATTATATTATTATAGTATTATTGTATATTTGAACGGTGTGTAATGTAGTGCAGATTATTGTATGCATACAGCATACGTTACACATGTTATACACCAATGATTTCTTGAATCATTAAATCATAAATTAAGGTGCATACAGTATGAGAAAGTTTGTTAGAAAAGACAACCGTAAAAAGAAATTCCTTAAACATTGTAAAAAAATGCAAAAGAAACTTAAAACGACGAATCTTTACCTTCATTACCTTGAATTAATTGTGTTTACCCTTGTTTACTTCATATATCATAAATGAAATTTCCTTATAAAGTACGTAAAATATTATTGTTTATCTTAAAAAGATAGAAACCTTGTTTTTTAAATAAATAAATTTCTTTAACGTATACCAATCAAATTTCAAAATATCAATGTTAATTTTTTCAACAGGTTTCAAAAATGTTCCAGTATTCTTTATTCGTATAATGTAATAAATACTAATTAAATAATAACTTTTAACGCATTAATTCTGCTTTATACTAATAAAAAGTGAAATAGTAATGAACGAATAAAATTTCCGGATTCAATTAATTAAAAATGAGGATCATCATAAGCCCTTTTTGTTTGTTTGCTTGGTAACACGCACGTTATTTACATAAGAAAAAAAAAAGGCGGTATTATCTTTGTGTAATGTCTCATTGAATTAAAAATTTTTTTTTAAATTTAAAAAAATCAAGTCCTTTCCAATTTTCCAAATTAGATATAAAAATTTAAGGGGGGAAGGAGAAATTTCAATGATTATGTCTTACAAAATTCGTTCATTTAAAATTAATTACAACATTATCTCTTTTAAAATCAGGGATAAAATAGTCAAACAAAAAAATAGATGTTCCCAACGCTTATAAATACATTGTTAGTTGTTACCGGGTTACGGAAATTTTTTTGATTGACGAAATTTTATTATTTAGGGCTTTAAAAATGTGACATTAGTTGCATTACGATATTTATGATTAAACCCCATGACGCAGGTGCGTGGTAACACAAATTTCCAATAGGATCTTAGGCGGGAATTATCAAGCCTTTGTATCGGAGTTTAATTTATCATTGTCTTTAAATGATCCGGATATTTCAATGCTATTTAATTACCGATAATTAAATATCGGCCGAAATTTATGCCGGGTATTAAAGTTATTCAAGTTATTCAAGTACATTAAAAATAGGAAATTGATACCCCAATCTTACTTCTATTTTTAGGGGGGGTTTTTTTTTAAAGTTTCGTTAACTGCATTTATTTTCCAATTTTTATCAAAAAAAGACGTTTCGCCGTTCTTCTTAAATGGTAATAATGACTCATATAAAAAATAATATTGTTTCTTTTTTATTCTTAGTATTTAAATAAACATCTTGATAGAAAAGAAGTGAACATTCGGTTGCACCAAATAAAACGTTGGCTGTTGCCTAACAGATTATGTTTGTTTATGACTATGATATTGTTTGTAACAATAATAATCAGTATGTGTGCATGTTATGTGAATTCCCGCGCTTTTTTTTCTTTATTTAAAAAAGAAAAAAAAGAAAAAAGAAAAATATTGTTATTTGTTGATAAGCTTTGAATGGTTTATTTATAATCATACCCGTAACATTTCAACCCTGTATCACTATTGCATGGTTGTATTATACATTCAAACAAAGTTTAACATTTCAAATAACCAAATAAAGTCAATTTTATTATATGATCTACATCTTAAATATTCGAATGCCAGAAATCGATATTTAAATACGGGGTAATTTTTGGGTATTTTTTTTTTTGTTAAATTTGTACAATTTTTTTTTTCTTCCTAAGACGTTCAACCCAAAAGGAAATTTCTTTTTAGGTTAACGTTTTGATGAAAAAAAAAAAAAGGTCAAAATATTCCTGTCACTTTTTTAAACAAAAATCTCTGTAAATCACTTATTCTGTAAATTATATATATATAAAGAACAAAGAACAAAGGACATTAAAAAAAAAAAAAATTTATTTTTAGTTTATTATTATTAAGAGGAAAAGACATTAAATCCCAATTTAGTATTTTGATTTTTTCTAAAAAAAAATAAATTTTATTTCATAATAATTTTTCATTGTAAAAAAAAAGGATAAATAATAAAAAATCTTCATCCTAGAAAAAAAACTTTAAGGACAGGTTCCCACCAAAAGAAATTTTTTTCATTTTTTTTTTTTTTTATATATATTCATCCCCCCCTATTATTTTTGTCTGGAACGGAATGTGGATTGCGATGAATAAACGAAATTAGAATTAGTCTCGATTTTAGATTTTCAATACATTGAAGAAACTTTGTTTTTTTTTTTAAAAAAAAGAAAAGTCAACAGCGAAAAAACCGTAAGAAATCGTATTTTTTTTTTTCAATTGAATCGATTGAATTAATATTAAAATTTAATTTCTCTTATATTATTATTTAGTATCCATAAATAAATAAATAAATAAATTTATTTATTTATTTGTATATATTTTTATTGATTATGGGGAATTGTTTTTGTAAACCAAAATCAAAAAGAAAACCTAAACCTTATCGTATGCCAACTTCTACCATAGGATCTCCAATATCTGACACACATTTAATTATTAGTGATGTACTGGATTATGGAAGTAATGATGAATATCGGTTCATTGATGGTCGAAGGTTTCATAATGTTATAAACTCGAAATATTTTCTCCCCTGTGATGATGATGAATTTGATCGATTACATATAAAACATTATATTTGTAAACACATATGGCAACGAAATTATTCTGCGCCCGTGAAAGAAAGATTAAGTTCTGGTGGTGCTCATGTCTTGGACGTTGGGTATATAATTTAACTCATTCCTTAATAATATTAATAATATAATTAATATTGTATAATAAATATTAATAATATTTTATCATTCTTGTAGTTGTGGACCAGGAACTTGGTTAATTGAGATGGCAAATGAATTCCCAAAATCACATTTTACTGGGATGGATATTACCCCAGTTTTCCCTAGAGAAAGTAAACCAGATAATGCAGATTTCATGGAAGCTAATATATTGGATGGATTACCTTTTGAAGATAATGTTTTTGATTACGTACATATGAGATTTTTGATTACATCTTTTAGTGCAAATGATTGGAAGATTGCAATTAATGAAATTGTTAGAGTTACAAAATCAGGTGGAATTATAGAATTAGTTGAAGAAGAATTAGAGCCAAGAAAAGATGGGCCTATATCACGATTATTATTTAGCGCACGTAAGTGTTTTTTTTTGCGGACTTATTTGCGGAATTACCAATCAAAGGCTTCCCGACATTTTTTTTTTTTTNATTTTTTTTTTTTTTTTTTTTTTTAGTTTTCATGGATCTAACATCGAGAAATATTGATTTTACAATATATTCACATATGATTGATCTATTGAATGATATTGAAAGTCTTACCGACGTAAAAAAAGAAGAAATTATGGCTTCATATGGTAAATGGGCTGGTAGAATTGGAAGTTTATTATCTGATAATACTGGTAAATAATAATTGATTTTGAAATACAAGAAAATTCGAAGATTTTTTTAACATATTTAATGATAATTATATAGGCTTATTATTCCGTACATTTAAAACGAGATTCTTAACTACGCTTGGAGTTGAGAATGAAGTAGAATATGATAAATTAATTGAAGCTTGGTACGAAGAATTAAATGAATATAAACCATATAATGTTGGATATCGGTTTTTGGCAACAAAAAAATAACCAATAACCAATAACCAATTATACCTTCCAAATAATCTATTATATAATAACAAAATTATTTATAATAACATTCCTTCCTTTTTGTACATATTAGAATTTATATATATATATATATATATAAGAAAAATCTTGTTTAAAAAAAAAAACACTCATTATTTTTTTGTAAAAAATTTCAACCATTTTTAATATTCTCTTTCTTTTTTTTTGAATTACATATATCATATTATATATATTTATCAATTCATAAAATCATTCGTATTAATTTTGCGCTGGTCTTACTTTCTTTTGTAAAATAAAATTTATACGTGTTCGTTTTTAATTAATAAAAATAGAATCCGCAAAATTTCAATTTCTTACCAAAAAACTTTGATAATAATATTATTGATTTTTTTTTTGATCTCGATAATAATTAACAATAAAGATGCATACATCTTATCTATTTCATAATAATGGTCCATCTCAAAATGGGTTTATTATATAAATTTCTATTTTAATTTTAAAGTTAAACCTTAATGATAAACCTGGTAAAAGATTCTGAGTAATGTTTCAAATTTCAATTAAAAAATATTTCCAAAAATGAATAAAATTTAGGTTCAAAAAAAAAAAAAAAAGAAAAAGAAATAAATAGTTCTTTGTTTGGTTTCATGCTTGAAAGGTGGTACAGGATCGGGGCGCCATCAAACAGATGGATCCTCTGCATTTTTAGTGTTTTACAAATTGTTTAAAAGAAATCTAATCAATACAGTATATATGTGAATTTTTATACGCTGACATAATTGTTTTTAAAATCTTGGTAAGCATTATTTTTGATAGTACGTATGCCAAGGATTTTTCAATAATTATCTATTTTTATTTGCATTTTTTCTCCATATAGATTGAAATAAATAAATAATAAAATAAAATTATATGTAAATAATAATATAATATAATGAAATTTTAAATATTTGAAATTAATTAAATTAATGTATACTATATTCTTATTAGTAATAATTTATTAATATAAAACCTATAATAAATCTTTGTAGTAAAATTGTAAATCTCTAAGTAACGTTGGATGGTGTAAAGATCGTGAAATTAATGCTCTTGAAGAAAATATTAAATTATAAATTTATTAAATATTGTTAGAAAATATAAGATGATTATTTAGTTGTCAAATTTATTTTGCTTCAAATCTGTCTTTAGCAGCATCAAATTAATTGGATAGTTAATCACAATTAGCAGCTACAACTTCCTAATAATTCATATAATAATTTAGATGCAGTAGAACGTGAAGGATAATTGAATGTTTTCAGTTTTGGTGTTCTATCAATAATCATGAGTATTCTGAAATCATGAGATATCATACCACCTGACAGAAAAGAGTCCACATGATTATATAAGCCTTTGTCCTTTCTTCAAAGATTTAGGGAGCAATATTAAAACCCATATATCTTTTTGGGCCTTGTAATGATACATAGACCGAGGCTGATCCATGAATGTTTTCAATTTCTTCAATGAAAGTTTCCCCCAAACATACGATCTTAATTTGAAGTAGCAGAATCTTATAATTTCAACACAAACTGCAACAATTCCACTTGTAATTATCAATGCTTAAATTTTAATATGGTCATTATCATGTGATTACTCCTATAATAAGCCATTGAGGAAGAGTTACGAACCTGGAGAAAAATGAACTTCTTTAAAATAATTATGACTTATAAATTTGCAGCATTTATACGTTAGGCGTCTTTATGTGTACAGTCTGACATTCTTTCGTATTTCGTACTTCCACAAGATCTAATCGTTCGAAATAAACATGATCCATGATATCATCTACTCGTGTTGCAGTGTGTCTAGCAATAGTTTAACTTTTAAATTTTCTTCAAGAGTATTAATTTCTCAACCTTTACACCATCCAACGTTACTTATCGACTGTTTTCTTTTTTGACTGTAATTATATCTTATTCTAAATCAACATGATTTAGATTAATCATCGTTATCGCACTTTAACTGAGGACTATTCAAAAAAAAATTCATTAGATAACAAAATTAAAAACACGAAGCGTTCTTATACATAAAGTTTTATTCATGTAAAAAAACAAACCTTGTGTCGAATTTCACGTGTTGGAATTTCTGTTAACTCAGAGGTTCCTCCAGAAGAAGAAATCGTATTGTGGTTATGGATATAACACAAATTGAACAAATTATAAAATTCGTTTTTTATCGTATAATAAAAAAAAGGGGGAAGGAGTTACTGAATTTGTCTTAAACGAATGATAAATAAAAATGAATAAATCTCAGAATTTTTTTTTCTATAAAGAAATCAGGATAACAGCCAGTTCAAAAATTCAACCCCATGGTATTTATAAATTTTGAAAACCTTCTTTTTTTTTCTTCCTTTTTTTTTTTCCTTTTTCTTTTTACACAAAACATATATGTGATAATATAAGATTTTATAATTTAATATTAAGGTAAGGAACCAAATAATAAAGCACCTTTTTTACTGTCACACGTAATGATTTCATTAATATAAGAATAAGAATCCATTTTAAAAGACAGACCTATAGACATTCATATACTAAAAATAGAAATCCTGTTGTTATTTTATTGATTTTCATAATACATTCTGTTTTTTCTTTTATAACTAAATCAAATTAAGTAATTAAAAAGAATTAAAAAAATCAGAATAAAAAAATTTGTTTTATTTATTTGAACGACATTAAATTTAAATTTATTCAAATTCTGATATAATAATATTTAATCTAATTTAGATATTATTATTATTATAAAAAATATTATAAAAGAAATAGTACATTAATAATGTGATTTGTGAAGAATGTCACTAGGATTGGATTGTATGCCGAAACGCTTCCATTTGTTGTAATGCCGAAAGTTTATCCAATACCGAACGATATATAGAATAGAATCCAGGTAATTGTTGATCAAGTAAGATTAATTTCGCGTTATTGATTGTTCGGTCGTAAGGCTGAGAAAAGTTTAACACCAAGCGGAGACTTCCGTTACCGCGAAAAAAAAAAAAATAATAATTTTTTTTCGCATATACAAAGTAACGTTCGATTGGTTATAGCCAAATTTAAAAGGGCTAGAATAGCCCAAAATTCATCCCCTACAATAAAAATGTACTGCAATATTAAAATATTACGGAGAAACGGAAACGGTTTTTATTTCTATACAGAGTTCACCGGTTCGATCAACAAAATGATGGCTGTCCCATGACTAACTGACTAACTGTTACATTTGTACATTAAGTTTCACTGCATTAATTATCGCCCCTTAATTGATACTATACTATATAATTGTTTTTTATATTACGCATTGGCGTGATAAATATTTCGTATTAGAACTTTTTTGATGGTATGTATCCAAAAAAAAATTGACAGGCGTCAAAAATTTTGAAATGCCTAAATTTGATGCCACGTTTTAGTAATATATCGATCATTTATGAAAAACATACGACCTAGCCCTTTAAAAAAGATCGATAATACTCATAAGAAATTTAATTTTTTATTCTCATTAATCATTTTACTTGTGTAATCGTATGGAAATGAAATTATTATTTTTTTTTTCATTTAGATTCACGGATGAACCCGAATGTTTCCAATTTTGTAATAAATAAAAATCAAATGCTGATGCTAAAAGAGAAGGTTTAGATTTTCATATATATAAATTATTTCATCATGCATACAAAGCTATCTACTATGCATATAATTACATCATTTAAATCATGCCTATTAATTTTCCATAAATATTATAAAGTTCGGCAAGTTATTAGTATGCAAAGTCTGTTCTCCACTGAAACGATTCATTCAACATCACATTTATTATCAGTGGTTTTTTATTCCGGTCATAATCCGGTCATAATCCGGGTCATAATTCGTTCATAATTCGTTCATAATTCTTTATAATAAAGCAAACTCGCGTATTATTTTCAGTATTAAAAAAAATTCGAAATAATATTATAATGTATTAAACTTTGATATAAAACTTGTTTATTAATTAGTTTTATAATATAAAAATGATCTTATCCTTTGAAAATTTAAAAGATATATTTCATTTGTTTTACTCATAATTTTTCATTAATGTCAAATACATCGAAATTATATTTATCAACTCATTAAAAATCAAAATATAATGATGAATCAGATTAATATTTATTGGCCAGTTAAAGTTGTTGTTCTGTTGTTTGTTACAAATATTTATAATTTGTTTAATTTATGCGAATAAATGTATGCACCAATACTAGAACTTCTATCTTTATTAAATAGTGAAATTTACGCGAGTTTAAGAACTTTCTAAATTAAATATATATTATAACGTTTGCTGATAAGTTTAATTTACAACACAATATAAAATTAGGAGGTTCCGGAAGTGTTCCGGATCAGGACTTTTATATATATAATTGGGGCTATTAATGTCAGCCAGATTTACTAAATTCGTGTAAAATTGTTATTCCGATTTTTTTTACCGAAATTATGGAACTTTTTGGCCAAAATTAACCATGTGACAAATAAAGGGATATAACAATGGTAAATGGGGTTCCTTAATGTACAGTGGGGGTGTACGATATTAACGTACGAACTGGCCGGGGTTAATTCTAACGCCATCACGTGCAAATGCATAACTCCTAAACTCGGGCCAGTTTGTACGTTAATATCATACACTCTCACTGTACGTTATGGACGCCTATCATAAATATGAAATTCTTTGTAATAGACTAATTTATCTGTAATTACATAAAATAATATAGAATTAGAAAATTTTATAATTTGGGTTAAACCTTATAAATTTTACAATCTGTAACAATTTATTTAATTAAAAATTTAATTATAGATTAAATTAATAGATTAAACTAATAGATTAATTATTTATATTGTATTAATAAATAGTAATTTATTTTTTTAACATAAATTTCTATTGAATTTATATGGTGCCAGAAACTATATTTAAAAAAAACTTTTAACATCTTAAAAAACAAAATTTTAAAAAACTAATCCAGTAACTTTGTTCTTTAATATGGATACTATTAAACTACCAGTTAGATTTTTGAACAGATATCTAAATAAAAAGTTATAAGCATTTAAATTTAAATGATTTTTATATAATTGACTTCAATTTGAAAT